AAACATTTTCTGTAGTATGTCCTGATGAAGAAGTTTTCTTTCTGGCCTGAAGCCTTGCGGGGTGGCTGCGTACTCATTACCTTGTGCTTCGTATCTTAACTAGTCAATCAAGACTACCCTCCTCCTTCCAGCTTAGATGAATCGAAAATCTTACCTCATTATAGTAGTATTTGAACATGTGCCGAGGACTCGTCCTCTGCCCCGCAGCGCTCACACATGGAATCCTCAGCCACTCCCATTGCATGCATGTGGCGCCTCAGCGTGTTATGGCCAGACAACATTCCCACCAACAACCTTAAGTTGGCTCTATGTGAAGATAAGCAAAGGCAACCATCCTTAACATTGGCTCCTTCGATGAGATCCCTTTCCTGAGGGAGATATCTAGAAACGCTTCTCCTTTACTGAGAGTGTTGTCTAGAAATCCACTTCTCCATTTTCCTCCTGACTCTTTGCGTGGGCGCACGCAGGGCTGGTTCAGAACCATTAAGCTTGCTCGCTGATCCTGCTTCCGCAAGAGCGTCCGCCATATCATTCATATCATATGATTGCCCTGGTACCGGTACCCATATTAACGATACCGGATACCTCCCTGCTGGTCTATCCAGAACCTCCCTGCACTGAAAAAATCTTGCAGGCACTAAGTGCCTTCATCGCAGCGTGGCTGTTGAAGAAGATTGTTATTCTTCTCCTAGGCCCTGTCCCCTCCAAAATGCGGGATACGCAAACCAGAATTGCATAGATTTCCGCATGGAAAGTAGAGGTGTATCCGCTGAGAGGCAGAGATAGCCTGGTTCTAGGCCCAAAAAGTCCAGCGCCAGGGCCCTCTCCAGTAACCGAGCCGTCCGTGTACCAGACCATTTTGATAGAACTTACTATTGATTATTTAGTGAAATGTTCACCTCTTAACATATTATTATGTCGTTTCACGGTAATGAGTAACAGAAATGTTGACATGCATCATATTATTGTAGTGTATTCCACACGCCATCCCTTAAGAACGTCTATGAACATCTCAGTCGTTTGTGTATGATTTGCGCGGCGTAGTCAGAAAGGAAATTAATACCGTAAATATAAAGTTGGAACATAATTCACGGTTTCATGGATATTTTTCTGAAATATTGGGGGCAACAAATTATAGCAGGCACGTGCGATGTGCGTTTGTTTTAGCCCTGCATAGCGGCAGTGGATTTATGTGGCTGTACACGATGCCCGGCTACGGCTATGGGACCATTAAGTCGTATATTTTAATACGTAGATAGCCTTTATTTGGCGTTAGTTGAGGTTAACCTGGCACAAGCCATCGCATCTCGAAATATCCGAAATTATTTGAATAGGCCAGGAAATAGAGAGGTTTTGAATAACGATATTGTACGATAAGTGCGACAGAAAATGTTTTTGGTGATATCGTTAAAGTATTGCTTACCAATAATAAGTTGAAATTGACATCATGATATGGCATTAACCGCCACTTTTTAAAGCGCGTTTGATCAAATATCTCGTAAGCTATCAATCCTATGTGAAAAAGTAATAGAAGGAATTTTGTCATTTTACCTTCATGAAATTTTGCCGTATAGTCAACAGTTTATGATAAATTGAATGATAAAACTACATGTAATATTTAAGCTCATAATGGCTAAGCTAACAATATAAGCATATGAAGGCTATCTTTTATTCATAGAGAATGAAAGTTGCTACAGAAAAGTAAAGTTGCATTTCCTCGAGAGCGAACCATGGACAGCTGTTTCGTGCTTTCTGGCTACTCATCAACATTGTCTAGGCTTGGTCTCTCGTCCCTATCCTATATCCACTAGGTATTGCGCAAAACGCCATCTATTACCAAAATCGGCTACTGAGAGCATTAGGTAACTAAATAAGTTCGTGCGGTTGCTGTATATCGCATATTGCCATGGATGCTGTTAATCGATAGCGATTGTTTGTTACCTGTTGTCACCTTATTATGAATCCTTCTCTTCTCACACACATAAAAAGTTACTGAAAATTGTTACATACTTAGTTTCAATAATTGAAAATCGCGACGAATAAAATAGCAATTCGAAGTTGTTTACTGTATGAGTACAAATTCGGTACAAAAGCTGCAGCGGCGGCGTGAAGAACATGTACCGCATTCGGATATGATGCCGTTAGTGATCGAACCGTACAGAAGTTGTTCAAAACATTTTCTACAGGAGATGTCAGTATGAACGATGAACCGCGGTCAGGGAGACAAAAAATCATGAACAACGAGGATCTTCGACAGGTTGTGCAAGCAGAGTGAGTCCTGAAACTATTCGTTTGCATCTTCATCATCTAGGAAAGACGTGGAAGTTAAGCAAATGGGTCCCACATGAACTAACAAATGGTAACAAATTAAGTCGTCTTACCATTTGTTCAGCAAACATTTCACGCAACGCTAATGAACCATTTATTGATCGGTTATTAGCCTGCGACAAAAAATGGATCTTGTATTCGAATTCTAAGCGTTCGTATCATTGGTTGTCGCCTACTGATTCGGTACCACATACGCCCAAGGCTTCCTTGCAGCTGAACAAGGTTTTGTTGTGTGTTTGGTGGACAGCAACTGGAATTGTCTATTATGAGTTTTTGGAAAGGGGTCTAACCATCACTGCTAACTTTTATTGTGAGCAGCTTCAATAACTACAAGCAGCACTCATGCAGAAACAGCCTTCTTTGATCAATCGGAAGGAAGTGATATTCTTGCAGGATAACGCCAAGCCTCATACCGCAAAAATGCCCCGAGAAAAAATGTCTGAACTCGACTGGGAAACGTTACCGCCATATTCTCCCGACATTTCGCCCAGTGATTAGCACTTTTTTTTGTCTCTTGAGGTACCGATAGTTCACAACTCGAGATGGTGTAATAAATGCAGTCCGCCAATTTTTTGATTCCAAATCCAGGGAGTTCTACAATACCGGCATACAAAAATTGTTTCCACGTTAGCAAGACCGTCGACTAAGTATTCGTTTAATTGCCCAGATGTTAAATTTATCAAAATCCGTGGTTCACGACATTGTGACACAGCATTTGAACATGCGCAAGGTCTGCGCGAAGGTGGTCCCAAAAGTGCTCACTGATGACCAGAAATTGCGGCGAGTGGAAGTGTGCCAAGAAAATTTGAACATGTGTGAAAGTGACCCCCAATTTTTTAATAACGTAATCACAGGTGACTAGTCGTGGATCTTTGGATATGATCCCGAGACAAAGAGGCAATCTTCCGAGTGGCACACGGCGGCGTCTCCTCGCCCAAAAAAGGGAAGAATGAGCCAATCCAAAGTGAAAACGATGCTCATTGTCTTTTTTGACATCAAAGGCATCGTCCACCATGAATTTGTTCCTCCTGGACTAACCGTCAACGCCAAGTTTTACGTGGAAGTGCTCAGGAGACTCAAACGAAGGTTCAGTCGGATCCGACAAGATATCGCAGCCGACTGGAAGTTGCACCACGACAACGCCCCGGCTCACACCGCCTTTCTTGTGAACAGCTACCTGACCAAGGCCGGCATCCCAACGCTTCCGCAGCCGCCCTACAGCCCAGATGTGGCCCCCCCGGATCCAAGCAGCATGCACCGCGGCTCTCAAGGCTATTCCGGAGAATGTCTTCCGTGACGCCTTCAACGCAGAAAGAGACAATTTTGAAAGTTTTTAAAGAATTGTAACGATTGGCTCAATAAATTTTTTTAAATCGACTCAGTCCTATTACTTTCCGGACAAACCCTGTATGCCGAGGGATGCTTTAGTGATAGCGGTATTTGTCAAGAAGTTGCGTTACCTTTATCGCATGACGTATCAAATGCTCACTAAAACAATTGAGAGCCTCCTAGAACTAACATCGATGTGGGAGAATTGAATAAGGAATGGCAGCAAACCAAAACGCTAATCTTCAAGTCTCTTGGCCGTGAACGGTGCGACCTTTCTGGTATGGAAGAGCAGCGTTTAGCCGCAGACGCCTCAGGGATGTGCTCGCATATCCTTATAATCCAAGATTACGCGCTAAATTATGGCTCGCACAAAGATCTATCTAATTGTAGCTGGAAGGGAGGCCGTTACTCCTCGTCGTTCCTCCTTGCCCTACGTCTTTACGTTTCTTGACCCCCTGTACTCCCACCGTCGACGCAGTAGCGGTGCCTTAGCTCTCACAGCCCATTTACTGCCTCACTACATTTACCAACTGACTCATTACTAGGCGTACGCACCGATTCCGGTATGGTGGCCAAAACAGGGAAGTAACGAGATAATGTTAGTTGTATACCTAGTTTGTAGGAATGATAAAGCTTTTCCGATGGAATTGGCATATTCTCTATTTTGAAACGTAGAAAATGGTGTCAGCGCATCACATGGCAAGTTTTTTAAATGTTAAGTTACTGTTAGGAGTAAAAACATGAGTATGTCCGAAGGCAGATCCAATAAAATAGATTTTTAGCGGGACGCGCTCAAAACACTGAATATTAAAAAGTTCAGCTATTAATTTTGTGTGCTTCCCGATTTTCAATTGTTTTTAATTTCATAGAGTTTCATTCACGATTATTCCTGCTTATCTCGTTACTTAATTATTTATTTACTTATTTATTTATTTCACACTATTCGAACAGTCTATGCCTTTTAACGGATAGGAAATTCACAAATATGAATCTAGAATGCTGGTAATACAATCATATATAATATATTTCTGATTATCAAGAAAGACTTAACCTATGGTAAGAACACATCTTTTAATAACAATACATTCATAACTATTACACATTACATGGACAGGAGAAAAAAGTAATGCATTGCTTTTAGATACAGAAAGGTAAGAATATTTTACATTTGCCTGAGTTTTAAAAAAGGTACATGTATAGCAATTTTACCAAGCAGGTATTCACAGCCTATTATATTACTGAGTAATTTACATAAAAGCGTACAAGCAGCATAATCTGCCCGTTTTTCTAAATTGGACATATAAAACCTACTTAGCAACACATTGTGCTTGAAACCAATTGGTGGGTAGGTACCATGCTCTCTGTACCACAGATATTTCGCAGACCGCCTTCAAATATCTTGGATCTTATTGCGATACACTACATAAACAGGATACCATATTAGTGAGCAATATTCTATTTTAGATCTCACAAATGAACTGTATAACAGAATTCTTGTCCTTGGATTATTAAAATCCCTTCACTTCCTGATTATGAAACCCAAGGACTTGTATGCTTTGCTGGTAACAGTATTAATGTGCTCGAGAAGCGTTAGCTTCGCATCAAATATTATGCCCAAATCATTGAATTCCTGACACGGTTTTAGCGGCCATTTATCAGCACTGTAAACAAAATGCGTCGAAGCAAGCTTGCGCGTGACGGACATAGTACAACATATATCTACATAAAGATACAGATTGTTAGTTTGACACGTGGTAGAAATTTTACAAAATATCTTTAAATCATCAGCATAAAGTATACAGCTACTCTTCAGTTAACTAACAACATCATCAATAAAGATCAGAAACAGTAGAGGACCAAGTGCAGACCTTTCGGTATACCTGAAGATGGTGTAATCTCAATGGAAGTAAAACCTCTATATTCTACAGTCGAATATCTATTTGTCAAATATGAATTAAAAATGCACAAAAATGTATGCCTCAATCCCTGTGCAGCTAATTTATTCTACAAAATGCCATGATCTAGTTTATCGAAGGTTTTCGAAAAATCTACATACGCAAAATCTACTTGTCCTCCCTCATCAATAGTTTCCGAGCAAAATTGTTTGAATCATGCTAAATTAGTTAACGTTGACCTACCTTGGAAGAAGCTAGGTGAAATCTCTCGCTTAAGATGGGAAAAAATTATATTATGTAAAATAAATTCAAGAAGCTTGCAAACATTGCTTATAATTACTACAGGCCTATCATTGAGATGACAGGATGTTCAACTCTTTTAATTTATATATTTTTAATTTATCTTAGCATACTTGAATGACTTAGACGAAGCCCAGGGGTGCCGCTATCATATTTTAATAATTCAATGTTCTAATTGCCACTAGTTTCTTTGTCTCCCAGAAGTAAACAGGAGAAATCAGGAGACAAGAACAACAACAAAACTTTGACTTGATGTGGTTGAAAATTTTCTTTTTATGAGTTTCTACGGATAAAACTAAAGCGATGTAGGAACATTTTACACCTTCCGGTTTATTTCTGTGCGTTTCACATTTAGTTGATATTCATAGCTTTAGAGTCCCATATTGCTTGTCAATTGCCATGCGGAGATTCTGGTTTGTTCCTTAGTCATAATCACAGAAAACCAGTTAACATTCAAAATACCCGCTTCTTTGATAGCGTTGCCCCTAGAGTAATTCATTTGGATATAACCATTGCAAATTAAGCCTGTTAATGTCTAGCCTGATCCGCAGAATTTCACCTAAGCCACTCATTTGATTTAGGAGAAATTAAAAGTATTAATTTTAGAAGGAACGAACTTGACATCCGGTATCTTAGTAAGAGCGCCACAAAATACAAAAGTGTACAGCTTTTTTGTTCGGCTTAATGAGATGTACCAGCTGGTGTATTTATAACCTAAATAACCGCATACTCAAAGAAACAAAATAAAAAAAATCAATCTATAATCACAAGCATACAAAATTGATACGCAAACTTTTTAGTTTACAGTGGATCAGACGCATTTCGGTAAAAAGCTCAATAATCCATTCAATACTCTACTAAACTTGGAGTTTGCATAGAGACATGTTGGCGCTAGATAGTCGTATATGAAGGGGCGGACGATCGCCTCACACTCGTGGGAGAAATCCATCGCGTTTTTTCATAATCATGTTTTTTGGATGCCCTTTACAATGATTTATATACAGGGTAGCCAAATAGTGTGTCACAGTTCAATGTTTTCGTTACTATTAGAAAAAAGTTGAATACAAAAGTTGTAGACAGAGCTAAGGGCTAGAATTTAAGTCTTAAGTCAAATGTAAAGTGATTTTAACGAAAAAGTAGCCATATATTCCGAAATACCCAGTATAAACCCCGAAACCATACATTGGCAGAATGGCCAAGAAAAGGCGGTTCTGAAAATCAACAGAAATACACGGCATCCCATTTAAAAAATAGAAGTTCGAATTGCAACTGATTTGTGGGACGCTCTGTATAGCTAGAAATACTTTTAGGTTGCAGCCCTTAGGCCCGTATCGTCAGTCGTCCCTACAATTGTAGGGCGTGTTTATGGCCTCCTTGATTGTCATACTCCTTTCTCTCCTTCAGAAATTTCTAGATTACACTTGTCCCGTGTCAGCGTCAGCGCTCTCCTATTGTGAAGATATGTTTTCTTTTTAAATTGTAGGACATTTCAGGCTGATAAAACATGATATAACTCAAAAGCAAGCACAATTTGATGCAAATAGATGTTTGTGACATAACCTCAAAATAGAGCGCTGACACGGAGAAGTAGAAAACTATGACAATCAAGGAGGACATAAAGGCGCCCTACAATTGTAGGGACCACTGACGATACGGGCCTTAGGGCTCTACGACCTTTATATTTAAGTTTTTTCTGCAACTCTAACAGTAACGAACATATTGAGCTTTGACACACTATTTGGACACCCTGTATATATATATTTTTATATTACCACGAAGGCCTTAGGCCTAAGCACCCATGGGGTATTGTGGGGCTATAGGGGGATACAGGGAAAGGGGGAACGCCACACGGACTCTGGCGAGGCAACACGTGTGTATGCAACGAGATCCGCCGGGTGGTACCTCTGAGTTCAACAGTCAGAGACCGTCTATCACCTAAGGACAATCCAACATCCATAGCCAAGAGAAAAATTTCTCTTAGGACGGGATTCAAACCCGCACAACGCACGGCGACTGATCAGGAGACCGAAGAGTCTACTACTGCGGTCACCGCTGCTGCCTGTGTATATAGACATATATCATAATATCTAAGTTCTTTTAGCTTTTTTAGATTATACTAAGCAAATGAGGCACTTCTTTGAGGTTGCTGGTTTTTGAGCTAATCTTCAATGCTTCAAAGCACGGTTGAAATTTTTATTTTTAAGCGTTGTTATTGGCCATTTTTAGGGTTTTTTCGCACGCTTAGTATTCGCAAAGGGTCAACTTAGTTACTGCGGACCTTATTTGACCAGAATGATGCAAAAAACCTAAACAAACGTTGTTTGGGGTAAAAAAACATTTTTTTGAAAACACGGTTTAAGCAAATTGGCACCGGTTTAGCTCTTGATTGTTATGAAGGGTCATACAATTCATGTTATTACGAAAAAAGGGATTAACGAATGCGAGGATTTTGCCTCCTAGAGCCCTGGTCGAGTGGATTGAAAAACTTCACGTGAGAAATAAGTAGATACATACATTTATGTGCTTTCACAGTCTGCGTTGCCACTAAGAATTCTTCGTAATTTCATTAGCCTTACCTAAAAAAAAAGATAAAAAACCATGTGTCAATGAAGTTGATGTTGTTTTCAAAAATCAGAATTTAGTATGCTCTATTAAACGTATATATAAATGAATATCGTGATTTATATTCGGTATTTGAGAAATGATATCGGATCTTTTTTGCAAAATCTCCGAGGTAAACACTTCAAGCTTGGATAGTCATCCACGACGAGCCATTTTCAGTTCCATACATAGAAAAATGCCTACTGTCAATGACAGACATAATCAAAAAAATCGTCTTAATGTCAGCGCCTCTTGGCAGAGAGTTGCAATCGTTCTATCTAAATGTTTGGAAATCTTGACTCTTATCGTCAAATGACGTTTCATATTCAATGAAGCGATATTTATACATGACGGAGTAAACCAGATGAGAAGTTTTGAAAACTCCATCAATTTTGAGGATAAAAACAAATGTATGGATTAATTATTCAAGGCATAATGGTTGTTAGGCATCAAGACCGCAGCTAACACGAACGACATTATGTTACGTCTCCCTTACTAGCTCTCTTTCACAGGGATTACCAATATAGTAAAACTTACATTTGCTGCAAGTGAAAAATATGCTGTGGAAGACGGTACTGTGCTGTCTGCTTAGGTGCGCTGCTTACTAATTTCAATAGATTAACCGCTGCGAATTTAAGCCATTCGAGCTAAATCGAATTATTTGTAATTAACCGGCTCTTGGAAGCACCACTACATAGCTGGTCTCTGTGCTTTCTCTCTTTCTCCCCCAATGCTTGGCGACTGGAGGTGCGGTGTTTCTGCCTATTTTGCTCTAGCCGAAGGTTTATGTGGGTGTTTTCAATTATCGATTCCACTGCTAACAAAAAAAACTGATATATCAGTTTGTAGAATACAACCTACTTTAGAATATTTGTAATACTGTTTTGAATATATTTTCAAGAAGAATTAGGTGGAGGGGATAAACCTTACAGATACTCAGTCAAATACTAACATTACATCTTTCAATTTAACGTGATATGAGTATATCAGTAGCAGGATTGTTGTTTAGATTGCACATGCCAGATGTATAGGTAATACGACTTGAAAATAAAACCGCAAAGCGATTTTTCAATAATAACAGAATATCAATATGTGGTTTCTTAAAAATGTATATCGAGTACTTTGACATTAACTTATATATAGGGAGTGTCAAAAACGTCTTCCAGAGTTTAAACGTAAAATTTAGCTCCAATATTGTGACGCAATAGATCTCAGCGTGATGTCATAAGTCATGCGGTAATCTGTATCCGAAATAGAAAATAATTTATATTTGCCCTAGGAGTAATTACAGAGGATTTTAATGGGTTCTTTTGCAATCCTCAATTAAATCTTTTTAATTCGCACGCTATGCTATTACAAGTTCATAGAGAAGTATGTTTGGCATTAGCTATGAACATGTATAACAAGGAAAATAAGTAAATCAAGTCAGCTAATAAGTCTCACGCAATTATTTCACAGACCCCACCCATTTAACGACGTTTCGATCTAGAGGTTTCTGCACTTCCCCACCCAGAGTACCGTCCAAATGGCAACGTTGCTATCGCTTACCTCGCAACTCGCCACTCGTCATCGGTAAGACATCATCAGACCTCGAAGAAGGTATGCCTGCGATCGCTGCGTTGCGTGAGCCGCGTATGTTGAAAATATTTCTCTCATTCTAAGTTTTAAGGTAAAATGGAGAGGCACACTATCATGTATGAAATATGTTTAAAGTGTGCATAGCATTACCAGGGTCAGAAACACATAAATATACTAACAGCAAAAAGATATACCCTCGCCCACCCTCGACAACTCCCGATCTCAAATTTTGAATGTCTTACAATTTTTTTCCGCAATTTATCAGAAGGTTTTCAAATTTGAATAACAACGTATTTTCGTCATTAGTGTAGCGCTAACCTTGTGTCAAAAGTTCCTCAAAATACGAGCGGTACTTTTCGATTTATAGAGAGGCCAATGACTGGAGGACACACTCATAGACAGGCAGACACACACCAAAATGAAGAAGTGACGTGTTTTTCTTTCGTAATGTCCCTTTTTTATACCGAAGCAGCCGCGTAGGCAGAAGCCTAAATACCGGGCACAGCGACCGCTAGAAAGGGGCTAGAGACACCTTATTAATCCAACTGCCTAAAGGTTAGTTAGAACTAGGAAAAGCTCCTCGAGCAGATTGTTTCACAGTCTCGACACCCTACAAATGAGGGAGAGGTCGTACCGGCCAGTCCTGAATGTAGAAAGATCGACATAGTTGGGATAGGAGGCCGAAATCTGTCGGCTCTGTCTGGGCGGTTCATCGCGCGGCAGCATCCTGGAAGACAGCTCTGAGGAGCAAAGCTCGTTGCATAACAATAGAAGAGAGCCGTCGATTGTCGGTGGAACCGTTCGTCAGAGAAGTATCGCCCTCCCCTGAACAGCATTATTATAAATAATGTAGGCGGCAGCACTCCAAACATGTGACCAGTACTACAGGCTAGGTAATATCTGGGCCTTTTACAATGTGAGAAAGTTGTGGAGAAAAGTGCATCCAACAAAATTGGGTGAGCACTAGAGCGTTTTCGGTTCATGAGGGTGCAGTCACAGAGTTGGTGACTCAAAATCTACACAACGTGAAATTTCTCAGTATAATTTTGAGCTAACGGCATATTGTTTCTTTATACATTAAAGAAACAGTAATGGATCTTTACAGTCTCAGATATGCTTTGTAATGTTTTTCCCTTGTTGGACGTAGTTAGTAGAAACACAGAATTCAAATTGTTTAAAATACATGTTGTCGATTTATTTATAGACTGAAAAAATATTATTTTGTTTCTTAGATCTTATATCTGACTCAACAGGTCATTTCTAGAAGCTTTACGAATCCGTTTAGTTTTAGATTTCAGTGCACTTCCATTGGAAGTTAAAAAATTACCAATAAGAAAATTTAGGGTAGCACTTAAAATATACTTAGTTGATCTACACATGCTACACCAATGGGCTTTACAGAACTGACCGATACGTCGCGACGGCTCCTTTATCTCTAGTGTGTCAAGATTGTGGAACAATCTACATGAGGAGGCTTTTCCCTGTTCTACCAACTTTAGGCGATTCAAAAATCAGAATAACAAAGTTTCTTTGGGTTACTCATAGCTACCGGGGTGCCCTTGCATTTAGACTCCTACTTGCGTGGCTGCTTCGGTGTAAAAAAAACATGTAAGGACATGAGATACAAATAGATAGTTCAGTCTAATGTCAAAATATTTTGAGTTTGAAATTATTAGTGTACGGCGGTTACTGCAGGTTAGGTGTAACAGTAGCTTTGAGCCAAATCTCAACTTTTGTAGTTTATACTAACAAAGACTATTATTATTATTGTTATTATTATTACATAAGTTATAGGCTACGAAGGGTCGCGCGCACCGCCGTTTACAGGCCTGAATTGGGTCAATGTTAAATATAAACATTTTCTCAAAAACTCTCCTTGCCACATTTCGATAGTCTGACAGCTGATTTGGGCACAGTAAAAGTGGGAAGAGACTCCTTAGGCAAATTGTTCTATAGTCTCGACTCCGTAGGAATTAAGGAGCGGTCGTACCGGCCAATTTTGAATGTACGAATTTCGACACTTTTAGGATGTGGAGTTTGAAGTTTGGCGGGTATCTCTGGCAGACTCATCGCACGGCGACATCATGGAGGAACCGTAATAAGCATGCGAGCAGTACTCGACAATTTGTCCTATCTAGACATTATACAGAGAAACGAGGTTATGTGGAAAGATTAATAGCCATAAGCGAATAGTATCGCTTTCTATCAGCTACCGAGATTCATGAGGTGTGTTTGTGCCAGATCAAGTCCTCGATGATCAGGATACCAATCAGCTGAAATGAAAGGCTCTTTGGTAGAGTTCGGCCATCTATCGAAACCGGATGAGTGCTAGGACGTCAATCGGTTAATGACGTCATCAATTTCCAGAAGACTTGCTATTGAAGAAGCCAAAACAAATGCTATCTATTAGTCTCTGAGGTCTTGAAATCCACTAGAGGAAGTGAAAATTGTGAACGATGCGGAAAGGAGCCGAAAAAACCCTGCCACCTGTTGCCTAGCAATAGCTTCGTGTGTATGTGTGAGGGGATGCTCCAAACTTGATCATTTGTGAAAATGACTGTCAGAGCCGCCCTTAGCACGGAGGGTGTGTGTCGACCATTTAAAAAACGGATTAGGTTGATGAATATGTGCTGAAGCTCGGCAAGCTTAAAAACGAATTTCGGCAGCTAGTCGCATGCTGATGGTGGGAGATCTTTGATAAGCATAATTGAAAAAATCCGTCCCGACGACCTATCGCCGCAGTTGGCGTGTAAATAATGAGTTTTGATGTCGACGGCACGGAGCCGTGTGGAATTCACTGTGAAAGGTGATGTTAAAACGCGATTGATACTATCTTTACGGCCTTTAAAAAACACTTATTTCCAAATATGTTGATTTTAGGAGTGTTGATTTCATTTCATGAGATTTCATCCAATATAGCGCTGAAACTAGTTTCATCGTTTTTCTTTATACTGATGCAAGGCATCGCGACAGCTATAAGGTGCTTACAGACACCTTGTTAACCTGATTCTTGAACTGCCTGAACATAGTCAGAATGTCGAGTGACTTGTTATAGTCTACAGAAGGCTAGGGTATTTTGAATAGCTTCAAAGAACTGGCGCGTTTTTGGTTGGATATCACCTTGTTCCTGCTTTAGGTTGAAGTGCATAACACGGTAAAGGTAACACTTCACATTTTCGATCTTGTTGTTCCTCTTAGATAAGCCCATGCCACTTGCAATGCTCAACCTTTCATCTTCTACAAAATCGAATACGACGCTATATTATAGTTAGCTCGACTTCTTGCTTATTCGTATGTAAGTTTTCCCAATGCGGTAGGCATTATACTCCTCAACGGCTCGGTAACAAAATTTTCTGATTGAAACTTATTATGGCGCAAGTTTTTTTCTGATACATTTGTTCAGAAACCTTGAATGCCAAGATTTTGATAATCAAGGCCTTTTAGCGTAAGGCTAGAGCGACAGTCACAGAAAACACGTCGAAAATGACCACGGACGTCGTATTGTGTACGAGAGAGAAGCATGAAAAGCCTACAATACGTATATCAGAAAGATATAGAAGCACCACGTCGCCAAGGAACCCAAGCGACGAGGCGACGGACACAGGTTCAGTTTGCCGCGTTGCCATCGGCGCATTCTTTCTAACATACGTACGTCTCGCGCTTCCCTCTCGTACACATCACCTCGCCAGTCGCCAGTGATATTTGGATTTGTCTGTACAGAAAATCTCAATAACTTCATACTGGAGTAGGTTGACGAAGGTAAGTTAATCCCTTAATTGCCATACGTAAGTAGTAACAACCCTCAAAAATGTCTTTGGTTGGAGTATTGTACAACAGTGGATTACCCCCGCGGCGAACGGCCCCCCTAATGACTCCATTTAACGTCGCTGAGGCGAGAGTGGAGCCTTGAGGGGGATGAATTACAAACAGTGGCGTCCGCCTTAAGATATGACATGATCGTAAGATCATAAGTATTATGGAGGTATAATGATAACGAGCCATGATTTAAACCAACAAAGTTAAAAGAACTAATTGGTGATATCTTTATAAATCTTTAGCTGTATCTCGATTAAACTATGGTTATATTATTAACGGACCTTGTTTAGTCAGGATAAGAC